CTTGCGCATAGTCGCGCACCATCACTTGCCAGTACACGAGGAAGCCGCAGTCACCGACGATAAAGTCTGCGCCGTTGTCGATGAGCTGCCGGACCGCCCGCTCGAGCAGCTCCTTTCCAGTGGCGTCTAGTTTGTCGCCTGCCTTGGCCTTTGCGAACGTGAGCCCCTCAGCAGTTGCCGAGATGATCCGGAAGTCAAAGGAGCGCGGGTCCAGGATGTCGCCGAGGTTGGTTTGATACTCGTAGTCGATGCGGAGCACGCCCATCGTCACCTGTGGGAGCAAGTAGGGAGCATTGTCTGTGTTGCACGGGGTGGGGTGCAACCGAAACCCCCTCGCCCAACTGGACGTCGTGTACGGTGCCGATCGTGCGCATCTCTCTCTCTCTTCTTCTTCTCTCTCTCTTGGCACCTGTCGAATGCCGGCAAAGGCCTTGACCGTCGCCATGCCGTCCACCGTGTCGAAGTGGACCTGCGGCTCGTGATGCGGGTGGCTGGTGCAGTTCCCCATGCTCCCCGTGCAAATATAGCGAGAGGCGACGGCGCCCACTTGGGCACTGATTCCCCCGCCTCATTTCACGTTTCTCCTTCGTTTCGTTTCGGCTGGGGGTATTTCACAGCTCGTGAAGAGCCGGCTTGCATGTCTGACTGTCACTGCGATTTCGGCCCGGGATTGTGCTTTTAGAAGAGCCGACGAGAGTCGTCTGTGACACACAGTCTGTGGCTCTTTTTTTCTCGCGCGTTTATGCGGTGCCATTTTATGGGTTAATTTTATTATTTTCTTCTAAAATGTAAAAATAAGAATTGTTACAATCGATCATCGTCCTCGAGCTCGAAATCACAAAAGAGATTTTCACGTATAGTAGTACGAGTGCAGAAAGTGGATGTAGGGGAAGCCCATCTCCTGGGCCACTCTCTCGCATTGCTCCACGCGCAGCGCGCCCGCGCCCTCGAAGACGGGCGAGGTGGACGAAGCGAGCATGCGGAAGGCCTCCTCGGGCGGCGCCGCCTGCGGCCGGGGTCGACAAACGCTCGAGGAGGAAGGCTCTGCTAGAAGGCTGCTGGGCTTGCCGAGAGTGCAGAGGTGGTGAGGCCGGCCCGATCTCGGTCGCGCGCGTCCGCCCCTCCCCCGCCCCTCTCCCGCCTCCCCTTGGCTACAGCCCACCGGCTCAAAGTCCAACACCTCGTACGAGAGCAGCGGGCTCCGCTCTCCGTCTGGAGAGGAGGGATCGACGATGTGTGTGGTCAGCCGGACGGGCGCTCCGCCGTCGCGCTCCACGAGCAGCTCGACCACCTCCTCGCCGTGGTCCTCGCGCCACCGCTCGCACCGCCGGCCTCGCGCCATCTCGTCTCCCACGAGCCTCATCGCCTCCGGCCACCGCGGCATCGGCATCGCCTCGCGCAGCCGTGACTTTTGGCACGCCTTCTCGCCGCCCAGCTCGAGCACGCTCCACTCGAACTGCAGGTCGTATCGTCGCACGAACGCCTTTGGAGGCTCGTGCGGAGCCACGCCGTCGTAATCGACGCGAGAGCGCCGCGCCGGAAAGTCGTAGTAGACGGTGAGCTGGCGCGTGCGCGGCGGGTAGTCGTCGGTGGCGTTGAGCTGGTGCGCAGTCGTTACGATGCGTGCCGAGAACTGGAGCGGCGGCGGCGGCAGCGAGCGGCTGCTGGTGGCGAGCGCGAGGAGCGCGGACAACATCACAGCGACTTAGCGAAACAACACACTCTCTCCCACACTACTCGGCACGCCACCGGCTGCGAGCTTGTCGCTATCCCTTGTCAGGAGCGCAACCCTGTCAGCGTCGCTCGAGGGCGGTATGCCGCCCCGCTGATCACCTGGGTGCATCGCGCGGTTTCTTTTTGATGGTTTAGCAAGCCTGGCGAAGCCGCTGGTCGAGCGGCTCGAAACGGTGGCCGAGGCGCTCAACTCTGAGCTGGTCCGGGCCATGCCAGGACGCTCTTCCTTTGCCTTGACCTGCCCAGCCCATCGAGAGGTTCTTTTGGGCTCAACCAGGTTTTCCGGAAAACAAAAAGGAAAACAGAGGGTCCCCAGCACTTTGCGTTTCCGGAAATTTCCAGGGAAAACAGAGGGTGTTTGGTGCTCCATTCTGGAAACTCGCGAGTTTCCCTGAGTCTGAGAGCTGGTCTGGGGCAAAATCTGAGGCAAAATTGAGGAAATCGACAAAATACCCAGGCGGTCGCAGGGTAATTTCCGGGTATACACGGGTTCTCCGCGAAATTCCCGGCATTTTGCCGATTTGACCTAAAATTTGGCTGATTTTGGGCCCAAACCAGCCTCAGACTCGGCTCAGAGCCAAAAATTTGACGATTTCCACGCAGTCTTCCCGGGAAAATAGAGAGGAAAAGAGAGGGTGCTGTAGAGAAAAAAGGAAAGGAAAACAGACGGGGTGCGAGAGGCAAACCTGGTTGAGCCCAAAGGTTCTTCCAAAGAGGCATGGGCCGCTAAGGAAGAAGAGAAGACATTTTCGTTAGTCGAGCCCAAATCACTGGGGGTGCCACATTTCTTGTTGGCTTCTAAAAACCTCTCTCTCTAAAAGGCTGACAGCGCGGGCGATGGAGCAAGTGCCCACGTCGGTGGGTGAACCCGCCCAGCCCCCCTCCGTGTTGCGATGCGCTCCCCGCTCCCGTTCCCCTGTGTCCCATCGCCATTCCAAGATCCTGCTCGTGCAGGTGGGGACCCTGTCCTTCTCACCCTTGCGCCGTTTTATTTATTTACACTGGGCACGCGATCTCTTCTCTCTCGCGATCTTTAAATAAATAAAACGGACACCTCTACTGTGAGATGGGTAAAAAGGAACAGGTCCCCGCCCGTGCGATCTTTGTGCAGGGTTCTTTGTGGGTGTGGTCGGCGACTAGCCGGGGTCGTCCTCTCCCGATGGGGGACTAGCACTAGCCGTCTCCCACATGGTCCCTCGGGTCCCTGCCTGCTGCTCCTAATCTCTTCGTACATCCTCCTGCTGATCTCCGCAAAGATAAGTCCTGCTCCCTCCCTCGTCTCGCCCTGGCCCCTGCGCGTCTCTGCTCCGCCTCCCCGTCGTCTGCCCTGCGTCGTCTGTTGACGGGTCCTCCATACTAGTAGTCGGTCGAGGTCGCCGCCCTCCTCGTGGCACTCTTCCCAACGTTCCCTCGACGGCCGATGCCGTCCGCTCCGGATCCCCAGTCCCCGGGTCTGCCCTGCTCTCGTCTGCGCTAGTTTCTGTTTCGTCCTCACTGGTGTTCCTCCTCTTCTTTCTCCTCTTCTTGTATGCTTTGTACATCGCGTCGATTCCTTTTCGCGTGAGCACCACCCTGAAGCCCGCCCAGCAGCTGAACCGCTCTTTAAGTCGAAGGAGCATCATCAGTCTCACCCACTTCGCTCGCTGCCCACTGTCGCCGCTCCCTCCCGCTTGAGCCGCCGTCGCGCGGCCCTCGTTCGTCCCACTGGCTGTTGGCCCGTCCCTGCATGTGGCCCTGTGCCTTCCCTGGGCTTCGTGGCAGTCGCCCGTCCCCACTTTGCCGGGCAGAATCGCCCGCCGCGACTAGCCAGTTCGCCCTGCTTTTTCGGGACGCGCGCGGAGTTGCCACGTGGCCTGGCAGCCCATGCTTTTTCCACCCAATTCAATGTTGATACGCTCAAGTCTGTGCGGCGTGGGTTTTTCTGTTCGTAAATAGATCCTCTCTATAGCGTGCGGAGGAAGATCCGTTTGGGCTTTGGCATTGGCCCGATTGCCATTGATTGCGCATTGGCATTGCGCACATTTTGGCATGTTGCTTCCGGCATGAGATTGAAGCAGGTGGACCCGGGGGTGTGTTGGGACTGTGAATGGTTTTCCTTTCGGCGCTTCTGGCCATGTCTCGCATGTGTGCCTCTGCTTTTGCTCTGATCACCACTGATGTCTGATGTGTGATGAATGACGTTGCGCGCGCAACTCGGTTCTCGGACTCGGTCCCCCCCTCTCCCCCACCAACGATGCCTTACGTCGATATGCGGCTTTCCTCTCTACTCGATATGAAGATTGAAAGCCTTGCCCTTGGCTATAAAGCCGTATTCGTGCAGAAATTTAAATGCTTCACAAACGCGGCCCCCCGCTGGGTCCTGGAACCGCACGCACCACTACGCAGGCGGGCCCCAAGTGGCCAAGGATTGCATCGCCAGCAGAGTACACACATCATACTACTCCATCCCCGGGCGCGGCTTGAGATAGAGAGTGGGAGAGTGGGAGGGCGCATGTGGGGCCTGTCCGATGGCGCGGATGGAAAAGGGGCGCCACGCGGCTGCAGCCTCAACGGCCCGCGAACGCGTGCGTGTGTGTCTGCGAGCCTCTGCCGCCCGTTTCCGCGAGGCCGCCTCGCCGCCTCGCCGCCGCCGCCTCGCCACCGTCGCCTCCGTCCACGGGGCCCGCATCCGGCTCCCACCTGGCTCTCCTCCTCGCCGCCGTCCCTCGCCGCCCGCCAACGCACGAGACGAGGCCACCGCTCCTTCCCTCGTGACCACCACGCTGGGCGTGGGGCGCCGGAGCCGCGCCTGTACCTCCCGAGGCGCCGCCGGGGTGGCCGCCGCGCCGCGGCGCGCGCGCCTCAGGGGCAGTCGCTGTCGCATCGCAGCCGCTGCCCCTCGCCCGTCAGGGAGGGGGGGGTGGGGTCCGGAGCTCCCGCTACTTTCGCTCTTAGGGCTGCGAGGGCTGCGACGCGCCCTGCGAGGCGTACGCGTGCTGCGACGCGTAGCCGGACGCCTGCGACGAGTACCCGCT